CTATATATATATATATATATATATATATATATATATACGTCCTTTTAATATCTATCACACAAAACTTGAGTGTCTAATTATTGTATGTTAGAGCGAAGATATTTGTGTTCTTGTTCTCCCGGCAGTTGGATACACAATGCGCGATATTCGGTACAAATGGAACGCCGGCCTACAGTCGGTCGGCATCTCGAACGAGGTGGAACTACCGCAGTTTCGCGTGCTCGGTCACAGGCAACGACATTCGACCATACACCTATCTACAGGTAGATATCCCCCTCTTATTAGTTCTTCCTTCAGAACTTCGTCCAGAGGCTCGCGCAGATGAATAATTGAATAATTTATTGACTTGTTATATTGTAACACACGCGTCTATATACACACCGTCTATATACAAATTCGATATATATATATATATGTGTGTGTGTGTGGAGCTGTTTTTTATTTCATTTCATTTTCGTTCTACCTTTCTTTCTTTTTTCTTTTTTTTGTACATGTATATATGATACATATTATATAAAAATACGTTATATTTTTTTTGATTTATTCGTTTCTTTTCCTCTTTTTTCATTTCTGGTTTATTCGTACCGATTCGCACCGATATGCACCGATCACCGTGTTGCCTTATACCGTGAACACTTATCGATCGTTCGGATCAAGGAAGAACTTACCCGCTAGGACGAAACCCGTCCCCGGGGCTAACTCATTCGACCAATCGACCGATTGACCAATCAATCAACCTCATCGACCTTTGAATCCACGGAACGAAGGACGAAGACGAACTCTCCCGATCATACGTTTATCCATCCTCGACTCGAGCTCCCCTTTTTTATCACCGGGTCCGAGGTAGACGACGTACTATTTCACGACTATCCTAACGATCTCTGTGTATATATATATATTCTTCTCTATATCTATATATATACACATAGAAGAAGATCGTTATGGAAAATAGTACCGAGTCAATCTCCGACGAAATATATCATCCACCAAATATACATCAGATCAGAAACCGACACGACGACGGGCTCTCGGAAAATCGAGTGAGAGAGAGAGAGAGAGAGAGAGAAGAATAAGAAATAAAAAAAAATAAAAAGCAACATCACTGCGATCTTCTTTCCAAAGAACTCGCACTGATCGAGATCATCATCACGACAGAACAGAAACAGCTAAGCTAAATTAAATAACGCTTGCACTCTCCTTTTCCGCTCGTGTTCGATCGTCCCCTTGAACGGGGGATTGTTATTATTATTATCTTTATTATTATTATTATTATTATAATTATTATTATTATTATTATAATAACTCCCCGGAACGAATGATTCTCTCATGGTTAAAAAAAAAAAAAGAAAAAGAGAGGCAAAGAACGAACGGAGAGAGGGACAGATAGATAGAGGAGGAAACGGAGAAAGAAAGAAAGAAAGAAAGGAAGGAAGGAAGGAAGGAAGGAAGGAAGAGAGAAGGATGAAAATACGGAACAGAGATACGCAAGAGCGGAGATCGAAGTATGAGATCGAGGAAGACGAAAAAAAAAAAAGAAAAAAAAAAAGAAGAGCGGACTTGTTGGGGTTTTGACGGGGGTGCGAGGTAAGTGGAGGCCCCCTCGGAGTTGAAACGCGTTTGAGGGCTTCCGCGAAGGTACGTACCAACCGCGGGGGGTCTCTCTATTTTTTCAGTCGGATACACGATGAGGGACATCCGGTACAAGTGGAACGAGGGACCGAACAGCGTCGGTGTCAGCAACGAGGTCTCCCTGCCTCAGTTCAAGGTCCTTGGTCACCGCCAACGAGCCATGGAGATTAGTCTAACTACCGGTAACGTATGAATATAGAACCCCACCCCCACCAACAACCAAAAAAAAAAAAATACATATACATATAAATAAATAAAATAATTCGACCCTCGCTTTTAACGGTATGGGCAAGGTGGAGAGACACGTTTCGCGCTATCCGATGTCCGCAGCTACGATGTCGCTCGAACCAACATGTGTTATTCTGCGTATTGTCGATCGATCGATCGATCGATATCTCTCTCTTTCTCGCGATCTGGCTCTCTTTACCTGATTGCTTTCGCCAACCAACTTCGATTGGAGGAGGGGGGGGGGGGGGATTTTTTTTCGATCATCACGTTTCATCAAGCGTGAATCTCCTCGAGAAATTTAATTCTTCGAAAAATCTAGTAGTACTAGTACTAGTAGTAGTAGTTGAGGAAGGGGAGAAAAAAATCTTTCTTCTAGAAAATTCTTCCCGAACGAATTTTCTCTCCCAGGGATTTTCTCGTCGAATTCTTAATAATATCCTTTCGCTCGCGGGCGGCGTGATCATCATCGAGGTTGACACGAACAACCTCCATCGTTACCTCCCCTTTCGTGCGCTTTCTTTGAATTCTCTGCCATTCGCTCTGGCAGCTAACGATTCGACGCTCGTAACCGAGGGGAGAGCAATCAGAGCAATCTCAACCCTCGATTCTTCTGCGAACGAATCCGTGGGAAATAAGAAGCTCCTTCTTATTTTCTTTCTCTTCGGCGAAACTTCTTCCTCTCGAGCGCACGCACGAGATTCTCCATCGAGGCTTTGCCTGATCGTCGCGAGAAAAAAGGACGAGAGAACCGTTTTTCCATGCGCTGGTCACGAGAAAAGGAAAAGGAAGAGCGAGAAGGGACCGGTGGAGAAAGAGAGAGATACGTATATACATATATAGAAGAGAGAAGCATGGAAGAGCGAAAGAGAGACGTGAAACAAGTAACGAAGGAACAAAGAAACGGGAAGAGACATTTCGTGGCGCCTCTCCGTCCCCCCATCCTAACTGTCGATCTTTTAATCGTAGGAAATTATTCGCGGCTGGCCTGCGAGATCCAGTTCGTACGGTCGATGGGCTACTACCTGATACAAATCTACATACCCTCGGGCTTGATCGTCATTATCTCGTGGGTGAGCTTTTGGCTGAACCGTAACGCGACCCCCGCTCGGGTCGCCCTCGGAGTGACCACCGTGCTCACCATGACCACCCTAATGTCGTCGACGAACGCGGCGTTGCCGAAGATCTCCTACGTCAAGTCGATCGACGTTTACCTGGGCACGTGTTTCGTCATGGTGTTCGCCTCGTTGCTCGGTAAGCATCATCCTTCTCTTCTAATCGACGAAAATATGTCGAATCGATGTACGCAAAAACATAACAAATGTATAAAGTATAGGGTGAAATGTATACCCAATTGAGGGAAGATATATAAAATGAGGTATTTTGAGGGGGGAAAAAATTGACGAGATTCGAAATCTCGGTTTCAAGTTTCTTTCCAGCGAGACAAATGGGCTCGATCCATAATTGATGATCTCTCGTGTCTGTCTCATTGTTCGGGTTCCCCGTGTTTTCGCAGAATACGCGACGGTGGGCTACATGGCAAAGAGGATCCAAATGAGAAAGAACCGGTTCCAAAAAATCGCGGAAAGTATGAAGACGGCGAGGGAAAATCCGGGCCCACCCGGAGTGCCCGGTGACCACGGCGACCACGCGCCTAAGCAAACTGTGAGTGTAAAATCGGCCAACCTCTCCTACCCCATTCGTCTTTCTTTCCGATTAGAATTTACTTTTTTATTCGATCGACGTTGCGAGAAAACTTGCACTAGATTGATTAGAGAAAAAGAAAAAAGTCTCTTTTCTATTCGCAGTAGAATAGTAATCATTAGCGTAGATCTCGTTAGCGCTTAGAATTATCCTTTCTTATTTTCTTTTCTTTTCTTTTCTTTTTCACATTTGCAATTTCGATCGCACAGTATCGAAAATAGAATTGTTTCGCTACGATAACGTAGAGATCGTTCGCGTTTGGTTCAACCGCGAAAAAAACAGAGGGGAAAATGGAAAAACGAAATATTCTTTTTTTTTTTTTCTTTTTTGCTCTCGCTCAAAAAACGAGTGAACCGCGAAAGGTCAAAAGCTAAAAGGTTCTGTGAAATGAATTCGGTCGTGTTGTGCCGGTCGGCGTGGTTCTCGCATGCCCGGACACGCGATGCACTATAAATTTTCTTTTAATCTCGGGGATTGTGAAACGAGAACGAAAAATATTAAAGGGAGCGACGGAGGGGAAGAGGAGACGAGAGAGGAAGAAGGTTGTAAAGGAGGCGGTGGTGACGGATGGATGGATGGCATTGCGGTACCGCGCGCATGAAATGTCGCCAGGATAAGACGTTTTAATTAATTCTCAACCGGATTAATTACTCGTTCTTTGACACCGCGGTTGTAGAGATCGCGGTATAAACAAGAAACGAGCCGGCTCGTCGCGCGGCTCATTTCATCGGCCGGGTTTTTTTATGACTTTTATGGAGGGAAGATAGAAAAAAAAGGGGGAGAAAGAAAGAAAGAAAAGCGTTAATATAGTATTAAGGAAGTAAAAAACGGAACAACAACAACAACGACGTCTTCCTCTCCCTTTTCTCCCTTTTCGAACGTGATCAAACCGAGGCTTGCATTAAAACCGATTGAACGTGAGAATCGGGGAAGAAAGTCGTTAAAGCGAAAGGTGAGTCGCTCACAGCTTGAAAATAACGGGAGATGAATCGTAGAAAAGAAAAAGTAGCAGTAGAGCACGCGTTTGCCCATCCTCGATGTCGCATGCCAATCTACCAAAGTAAGGGGTTCTCCTCGAAAAAGGACACCCCACGCCGAACTGCCGTGTCTCTTGTAAGTGGTCCCGTGTTGTCCAGGAGGTGCGGTTCAAGGTCCACGACCCGAAGGCACACAGCAAAGGTGGAACGCTCGAGAACACTATAAATGGGCGAGCTGACGAGGAGGCAGCGCCGGCGCCGCAACATCTCATTCATCCTGGAAAGGATATCAACAAGCTTTACGGTAAGGAGTTCAACCCTCGCCATATTTCTCTCCGATTATTGCAACGCGATTTTTCTTCAATCAAATCGCATCGACCATATATTCGAAGAGCTAACAAATTAGCTTCTCTTTTCTCAATCTACGATCGATAATAATTATATTATTATATTCCCGGCAAGAAGTCGATGTGTATTTATATATACAGGAAAATGTATTCGCATCGATAGTTGCTTTTAAATGACGAACTGAAATTGCTTACTCCCCGAATATATACAATACATAAAAACTGTGCTTTTTTTTTTCTTTCTCTCTTTTCACACATAGGTATGACGCCATCGGATATCGATAAATACTCCCGCATCGTGTTCCCGGTATGCTTCGTCTGTTTCAACCTGATGTACTGGATCATCTACCTGCACATCAGCGACGTTGTGGCGGACGATCTGGTGCTTCTCGAGGAGGCGAAATAAACGAAGATGGCGCGGCGATCGCGCGTACAAGGCGGACGAAACGTGCGGTCACGAAGGACAGTTACGAAAGTATTAATTAGGGACGGGGATGAGACGAAAGGTTCTACACGAAGAGGGAGGACTATATATACGAGATCGATCCAAGGATCGATGGTCCAAGCCGATGAGCGCGATGGACTGAAATACAACGCTGTGATCACTTCGTTACGAGGTTAGATAAACTGTACAACGGTGGAGCCGCGTTCCGATCGACGAATGGAACTCCGAATGAGAAAAGAGGAAGATAAGAACGGATGAAACGAAGAAAGGGGGAAGGGAATGTTAGCAGTCGATCGATCGACCGACTTGACTTGCGGGGGGGGGAGGGGGAGGGGACACTGTTCCGCGACACGGTGCGAAAATGAAAAAAAAAAAAAAAAGTAGTCGGATCGGAAGAAGACGAGCGAGCAACCGGCCTCCTCCGGTAGGCTTCGAGTAGGAGTTAGAGACGGTCGCTGGTCAGACCGGTTGGACGATTAAAACACGCGCTGTGACTACTACACCTGTGACGTTCTTCAATCTCGTAAATTTCGCCTGCGATGCGATGATGCTCGATCTTACTCGTCGCTGATTCTCGTCCCCCCGTGTTTTGTTTTCCTATTTTTTTTTTCTTTCTTCAATCACGACGAACGAATACGAAATATATCATATAACGATACGCGAGAAATCGAAAGTGGGGAAACATGGTGGCAGGAAGATGGAAGGAAGAAGGAACGACGGAGATCGAGGTAGAGAAAATCGGACGAAGAAAAATAAGAAAAAGAAAAAAAAAGAAAGAAGGAAGGAAAGAAAAAAGTAAAGATTCGAAACGAATTCGAAAAACTAAAAGAAACCGCGAATCCACGAGCGTGCATACTTTAAACATTGCCAGTCTAGGTACCTAGGTCTTTAAAAAAAAAAAAAAAGAAGAAGAGAATATACCTTCGATATAAACACTTGTCAATTTAGCCACCATTATATACATACATATATACATACATATAAATATAAATATAAATATAAATAAATATATATATATATATATATACATAGTAAAAAGAAAAAAAAAGAAATTAACTAAACGTAAGAAGGAATAGAACAAAGAATAAGGAGCTCGATTACGGCGAATCGAGACGAATCGATCGATGGAAAACGATGAAATTCTAAGAGAAAAAAGTAAAACGAGTCGATCGAGATATTCAACGATCGTCGCTCGAATGGCGCTCGAGTGTACATGTGATCCGAGCAGAATAATCTTGCGTGAATCTGCGTGTGAGAATTCGCGTGATTGCGTGCGTGTGTGTGCGCGCGCGCGCGCGCGCCACTGTCCTACGTGTACAAGTGCGTGCCTTCGAGTGCACCGTGTATGTGTGTGTGTCTATATATATATATATATATATATATATACATATATATATATATGCATTGCACGCGTGCTTTTAACACGCGTGTCTATTCTATATGTATGCGCGTGTGTGCCTCCACGTGTGTGTGTGTGTGTGTGTGTGTGTGTGTATTCAACGAGCGCCAGCGCACGTGCACGAAAAGAATAGTGGGATCGAATAAGATAAAAGGAAAATTCGATTTTTATTTCGAACGAGGACGAGGAAAGGAAAAAAAAAAAGAGAAAAAAAAAAAGTAATAATAATAATAAAAAAGAAAAAAAAAGAAAAAAAAACGGTTCACTACCGGAGACTGGTGCGACTTAATTCGTTAATAATACGAATAGACACGTTCTAATAAATAATTATACTACTTGCGTATGCTACGTACGAGGAGAGACTACGTGTGCATACGCGCGCGCGCGTGTAGTAGACACGGGATGCAATATTATTACAAGTAATTACGTGCAGACGCAACAATACGTACACCACGATTATCCGCGCGTCGACAATCCTCGATGTCGCGTCCACGCGATGAAAAAAAAAAAAAAAAGATAAAAGAGGAGGAGGAGGAGGAACGATCGATCCTCCGCCTCCTCCATCGCGAGCCAGGAAGAGGATCGATCGGCGAAGCGGCGAGGTGGCGTATAATCAATCAAATAGGTTTCATCCGTCGTGGACTCGATCGACGAGCGGAACGCGGGCAAACTTCTATTTCGACGCGAGTCGCATCATTTCGAGGTAGAGCTGTTTTCTCGAATGTCTTTTTTATTGCCACATGAACATTATTGTGTGTCCGTTTCATTTTATACCACTTTTTTACCATTTATAGAACTCGTCGAAGCGACTTTTATATATTTCCGTCACTTCTCACCACCGCGGAATCCTCCCTCGGAATCGACTGTAACTTCCGTTCGAATCGTCGCGGCGCGCGCGCGACTCTGTACGTGTACATGGCTCAAATGTGGGGGGAAAAGGAGAGGAGGGGGAGGAGGGGGAGTAACAACTTTTCAGCAACCGAACCCATCGTCGTAGAACGTATGTAGAGTATCTACTACTCCCTGGATGGCGCACGATTTTCGATCGGAACGTAACGATTTATTCCAATTTACGCGAGTTTTTCGACCCCTCGGGGAGGGGAGAGGGGCCAAGGAGCGAATCGAAGCCGAGCGGCGCGAATTTCCATCGTTCAATCAAGTCGAAACGAACGAACAAGAAGAATTATCAAGAAAGATAAAGAAAAGAGGAGAGAGAGAAAGGGAAAAGATCCTTCGAATCGTTTCTTTTTAATGGTTCTTCTGAATCGTATGTCGCTCGCGCGACGAGTTATTTCCCCACCCGCGAACCCGCGTCTCTGTCTCTCCCCCATTCGAATTCCTCGCACGCGGCGTCCTCCTATCACAGGGACAGGAGCGAAGCGAGAAATTGTTGCGAGCGGATTGTCGTATATACGCCGCGCATAAAGCGTGGAACACGAGGGGGGGAAACGAGCCGCGATCGCATTCATCGCGTGGATTAGTTTTTTCGAAGCGCACGTACACCAGTGGCGCGGTCCTTCCGTTGGAGAGGCCCTTCGTCTTCTCCCTGTTCCGCCCGGTACAGCTTTTTGCCGAGTTAATTAACGCCAATTGTATGCCGTTCTACTTCCGTCTTTTGGATACTCCATACTCGCGTTTTTCTATCCACCTTCTCCCTCCCTCTCTCTCTCTCTCTTTTTCCGTGTGTGATGGGGTGCGCGCATACACACACACACATATAGACACATCCGTGGAGCATACACGCATATCCCTTTCTTCCTCGATTCATTCCCTGCCTCTCCGTCTACCGCTGTCTGTCTCTCACCTCTCACCCCTCATCCCCCTTTCCCACTACTCTCTTTCGTCTCTTCCAGCGTGGTTGCTGGCTGCAGACTGGGTCGTGGAAGTTTGCCATTCAGGATATCGACCAGCTGACACGCCCAACCCACCCTCCCTCTCGCACATTCGATCCCTCCACCTCTCTCCCTCTCTCTCTCTCGGTCTCTCTTCCCTTCTTCTCTCTCGGCGAGCGCTCTCCGCCGCTCTTCTCTACAATCGCCAAACAATCCGTTTGCCAGACGCTCTTGCTCATTGTGCATTTAATAAGGAGCTTCTTGCTTTCGGTACTCTGCGAGAATTCTTTATAAAAGTAGGTAATCTTGCTCGAGGATCTCCTTGGTCGCCATCGCTCCTCGAATATACGGAAGAAGAAGTGGCCGAGGGATGTATTTTCGTATTTTGGCCGCCCCGTTCCACCCACCCGCCACCTGGACCGATGGCAACATGACAAATAGTCCCTTGATCGCGACGCCCGCCACGTTGTCGGCTACTTATCGACAACGCCGCGTTGTTTATTTCGATAATGATAGATGATATACTGTGTATATATATATATATATATATATATATATATATATATATA